TAGACAGCCTTCCTCTCCCACTAGAGCCTCCATACTCTGCTATCCCTGCCACTCTCCACTGTGCTGTCAGCACCCCCATCCATTCCCCCCATCTGCCCTTCTGGTAAATCTAGTCAGCCAGAGGTCCCTGTTCCAGGAGGATCAGCTGTTCCTTATCAACGGCAATCCATTGTCAGTATTCCTTTGGATAGCGGCCACTTTTAAAAAAAAAATATTTTATTATGTGTAGGAGTGTGTTGCCTGCATGTGTGTATATGCCCCGATGTTGTGCAGTGCCTGTGGAGGCCAGAAGAGGGTATCAGATCCCTGGAACTGGAGTTATGGACAGTTGTTAGCTGGCATATGGGTGCTGGGAACCAAACTCTGGTTCTCTGCAAGAGTGGCCAGGTCTCTTTACCACTGAGCCATCTTCTCCCCAGCCCCCCAAAGCATGTTTTTTTAAAAAAAATATTATCTTGATTTTATGTGTATGAGTGTATTGCCTGCATATAGGTAAGTGCACCCGTGTTGTGCAATGCCTGCTGAGGATAGAAGAGGCCTCGGATCCCCTGGAACTGAAGTTACAGACAGTTGTTAGCTGCCATGTGGGTGCTGGGATTTGAACCCAGGTCTTCTGCAAGAACAGCCAGTGCTCTTAACCACTGAGCCATCTCCCCAGCCCCTTTTGTTTTGTTTTTAATACCAGGAAAGAAACTTAATGGAGAGGTGGCTCAGTGGTTAAGAGTACTTGCTGCCCTTCTATAGCACCTAGGTTCTATTTCCAGCACCCACATGGTCTAGAACAAAGAAACTTACTTGTCTAAGCATGGCATGATAACATACTCTGTAATTCTAGCAGTTGGGAATCTGAGGTAGAATGATCATAAATCTCAGATCAGCCTTGGCTATGTAGTAAGACCTGTCTCAAAAAAAAAAAGAGGGATATAGCTCAGTTGATAGAATGCTTCCCCAGTGGCCCAGTGTACACAAAACCCAATGTCTTGTCCGTAGTACTGCATAAGAATCAAGTATGGGGGCTGAAGAGATGGCTCAGCGGTTAAGAACACTGGCAGTTCTTACAGAAGACCCAGGTTCGAATTCTGGCACCCACATGGCAGCTAACAACTGTCTGTAACTCCAGTTTCAGGGGATCTGACATCCTCTTCTGTCTTCTGCGGGCTTTGCACGACATGGGTGCACTTACCTACGTTCAGGCAATACATACAAATAAAAATAATAAAATATTTTTAAAAAAGTTTTTCTTACGTCTGTTCATTTCTGTTTCATGCTTCTTGGTATTAGAGCTTTGTGTCTTAATCAAACTGTGATGTTCTTTTTCCTTTGTGTCTTCCAGCAAGCGAGGTTTCAGTGTCCGGTCCTTTGGAACAGGAACTCATGTGAAGCTCCCAGGACCAGCACCCGACAAGCCCAATGTTTATGACTTCAAAACCACATATGACCAGATGTACAATGATCTCCTCAGGAAAGACAAAGAACTGTATCCCATGGCTGACCCTGAGAGAATCCAGGGTGGTCTTCTGGTGGGTGTGATTTGTGACTGGTGGTCACTCTGACCCCCACCCTGCAGGGACATGTTTTGGGTGAAACAGGAACAGCAGGTGTGGTGTTCTGACTTGTGTGCCTGTGGTTCCCACATCACTCTTTTATTTATGAGAGTTGAGTTTCTTTCTTCCCACTGGACAGTCTGGGGCATTCCTGCAGACACAAACGTGAAACCCACCTGTGAGGTCAGGCAGAAGGCTCTTATGTAGTATTAAACAGGAGCTTAGAGGGAAGTAGACACTGGAGTACCGGTACTTGATACTCTAGCCTGCCTAGCTGCTGCCTGTGCAGAGATGTGTGCGCACACTAACGGGTGATTGGAATTGCATCTCTGGCTTTTTGGAAACATACTAGCTGGGCATTGGGGCTTGTACCTGTAATCCCAGCAGTAGGGAGGCTGAGGCAAGAGGATTGCTGCAAGTTTTAGGCCAGCCTGGGCTACAGAGCAAGATTCTTTTCAAAAGGAAAGCAATAAAGCACAGATACCATGCATGGTAGAAGCACTTAATGGAGAAGACATGCTGTGTCTCAGGAAGTGACAGCAATGGTCTGAATTTTGTACTACAGACTCTTGTTAAAAGGAAAATGTATATTTTTTTTTATTTTATTTATCTATTTATTTTTTTTTCGGTCTTTTTGAGACAGGATCTCCCGGTAACCCTAGCTGGCCTGGGTTCGCTATGGAGACCAGGCTGGCCTCAAACTCACAGAGATCTCCCTGCCTCTGCCTCCCAAGTGCTGGGATTAAAGGCGTGTGTCACCACACCGGCTTTTTAAATCTTTTTTGAGACAGGGTCTCTAGTCCCAGCTGGCATGGAACTCACAGAGATCCACCTGTATCTTCCTCTGGAGTGCTGGGGTTAAAGGCGTGTGCCACCATAACCAGCTAGGAAAATGTATTTTTTAAAATAGGCTTTTATGCCAGGTTGTATCATAGTTAAGCTAATCAGTGCCCCAAGCTTCTGAGCAGGACATTTCATAACCCCTAATCTCACTGAGAATTTCCCTTATGCATATGCTTAGTGTGTGCATGAGGCCTGGGCTTGATCATTAGTACTTCAAAATAGAAAAAAAAAAAGTCTAAGCCAGGCTTGGTGGCACACGCCTTTAATCCCAGCAGAGGCAGGTGGATCTCTGTGAGTTCAAGGCCAGCCTGGTCTACATAGTGAGTTCCAGGACAGCTGGGGCTACAGAGAGACCCTGTCTCAAAAAGACCAAAAAGTCTAGTTCTTCTTTTGTATAGGGGTACTCAGAATAGAGTCCCGATATCCTATGCAGGTGAATATGAACACCAAACACAAACTTCTATTTTTCTTTTTGGTGCTGGAGATCAAACCCAGGGCCTTGAACATGTTAGACTAGCCCATTGCTCTTCAACTGAGTTATCCCTAACTCCAAAACCCTTTTGTTAAAAAAGATTTATTTTTATTTTATGTGTATGAATGTTTTGTCTGCATGCGTATAAGTGTACCATGTGTGTGAAGTACCCTCAGAAACCAGAAGAGGGCATTGGATCCCTTGGAACTGGAATTTGGCTGTAAGTTGTGAGTTGTTCCATGTGAGTGTTCGAAACTGAACCCAGGCCTTCTGCAAGAGTATCAACTGCTTTTAACAATACTGAGCCATCTCTCTAACCCCCTCAGAACCTTTTTTTAATTACTTATTATTAATTTTTTTTTTTTTTTTTTTTTGGTCTTTTTGAGACAGGGTCTCTCTGTAGCCCCAGCTGTCCTGGAACTCACTATTATAGACCAGGCTGACCTCGAACTCACAGAGATCCGCCTGCCTCCCAAGTGCTGGGATTAAAAGTGTGTGCCACCACGCCCAGCCCTTAATTATTTTTTAGACAGATTCTCATTGTGTAGCTGTAGCTGACCTGGAACTCACTATGTATACCACACTAACCTTGAACTCAAAAGAGATCTACCTGCAGTTAAAGGCATGTACCAACACAATCTGCCTTCTTTTTTGAAAAAAAAAAAAATTTTTTTTTTAGCCAGGCATAGTGGTGCAGAGGCAGGTGGATCTCTGAGGTCAAGAACAGCCCCTTCTACATAGTGAGTTGCAGGCCAGCTGGTGCTACAGGAAAATCCTGTCTCAAAAAGATCCCCCCCAATTTTTTTAAATTTATTTTCTACTTTATGTGTATGAGTGTTTTGCCTGCATTTGTGTAAGTGCGACACCCACAGAGTCCAAAAGAACAGGACCTCGGATCCCTTGGAGCTGGAGTTACAGGTTGTTGTTAGGCTGCCATGTGGGTGCTGGGAACCAAATTCTGGTCGTCTGGAAGAGCACCCAATGCTCTTAAACGCTGAACCATCTCTCCAGCCCCTCTTTTTTTCCTTTTTAAGTTATAATAGAGAATTTATCCTTAGCCCTCTTTTTATTTTTTATTTTTTTATTTTTAAAGACAGGGTCTCCTAAGTCCCTGCTGGCCTGGAATTTGCTACATAGACCAGGCTGGCCTTGATCTACAGAGATCTGCCTGCTTCTGCCTTCCAGGTACTGGGATTAAAGGCAAGGGCCACCACACCTCACCCCACTTTTTTTTTGTTTTTGTTTTTGTATTTTTTGAGACAGGGTCTCCTTGTAGCCCCAGCTGTCCTGGAACCCACTATGTAGACCAGGCTGGCCTTGAACTCACAAAGATCCACCTGCCTCTGCCTCCCAAGTGCTGGGATTAGAGGCGTGCGTGTGCCACTTTTTAAGATTTGAGGCAGATCTCTACTAAGTTACCCAGACTGGCCTTGTATATGTGATCCACATTTCCTCTCAGCCTCCCAAGTAGCTGAGATTACAAGTCTTCATCACCCCAAAAAGCATTTTGTGTCCATATTTGCACTCTTGAAATTTTATTAGTAAGTAAAAATTAAGCCATTATGGAATCCAGCTACTCTGAAAGCTGAAACAAGAGGATCACTTGAGCCTAGGTCAAGGCCAACCTGGGTAACAGGGAGACCTGTTCTTGGAGGAAAAGCATCGGGCATCATGGCACAAGTCTCAGGAGGCTGAGGCAGGAGGGTCTCAAGACCCTTTCTCAGAAGGAAATAAAAGAATAAACAGACTATTTCTATAGGTACAAAAGATCAGTTAGGTAACTGGCAGGGTGCTAAATATTCATTTTGGTAAATGTAAATCTTAGTGGTCACTACATCTTTTACCCTCATCCCACCCCACCCCTGTCCTCTCTCAGCTCCAGTTGAAAGATGCTCAGTTGGGACCTTGAGTCAGAAACAGAAGATAGTTCTTGTTAGTAACACACCTTGCCTTATAGTTACATTGGGAGTGCTTGGATCCTGTACTACAGGGGCCTGGGAGTCTACCCTGTAATCTGAGAGAATGTCTGGTTAGAAACTCAGGGACCTGCGTTAGGGAAGGATTGGGCTATGTCCTTACCTCTTGAGTGTTAGCAGAGCAGGCTGTGCTCTGCCCACATCTTGGCCCAAGAGGGTGGCTAAGCAGGATCTCTTCCCTAAAACCTGGAGAGTGGTTTACTTCCTTGGTCTCTCCCCTAACCCCAGGGAAGCATTAACACAAAGATTTGGGGGAATTTCGTTTTAGATCTCCTTATCCTTGTGGTCGGAAAAATTTGAGGATTTATTTATTATTTATTTGCTGGCCTGTAACTCATTAAGTAGACCAGATTGATCTTGAACTCAGAGATCTGCCTGCCTCTGCCTCCCAAGTGCTGGGACTAAATGCTTGTGCCACCACACTCAGCTCCAGGTTATTAAGTACCAAAATACCATTAAGCATATTCTGAAACCTTATCTGAAATTTCTTCAGTTAGACCCATTCATTTTTGAAACTCCTATGTCATGAGAGAAATAAATACAGTAATGCACATGTTCATATGCCCTTAATTTTTTTACAAATCGAACTTTTAATTTTGAAGCCTACTGACTTCCCTGTTTCTGCTCAGGGCAGCTCTAAACATGTACAAGAACCAAGTTCAGGCTTTAGCCTTCAGATCCAGAGAGACATGATGAAAAGGAGATGCTGAGCATGTCCCAGGTAACTCTAAAAGGAGTAGAGACCAGTGTCTCAAGAGTATGGACTCTCATCCATAAGGTAGTCCAACAGGTAACCTGACTCTCCATGCATTGGGGGTGGGATGAGGCAACCTGGAGAGCTTGTGACCATCTTGTTAGCTTGGTGATATGTCATCAGTATTTGCCCTCTAGGAATTTGCCCCTTAAGTACCCTCTAGGAAACTTGCCTTTTGGTCTGTCCTCAGGAAGCTTCAGGAGGATGACCCCTTTGTCATTTGTTTACTCCATGCAGGCAGTATATTGGTTTTCTAGTGCTTTCAAGAAGAGGCCATAACAATGCCTAGTGCTCTGCTAAGCTGTTCTCAGTACTATCCTTGGCCAAAGGATTATCCCTTACAGGGAGTCACTGGACATTGGCACCAAGCCAGGTAGGGTGAAGACACTGTCAGGGTTTGTGAAGGGGTTGGATATTTGTAGGATCACTGTATGGGATACCCATTTGTTCCAGGGCAGGAAGCTGGAAGAGGGGTGGTCAGGCACTTTGGGAGACAGATAGAAATTCTGTGCTTACATTTTCTAGGAAAAAGATTATGTGAGTTGGTAGGAAAAGGGGCTTGATTAGAACCCATAGCTGCACTGGGAGCCTGGGGGCCCTGGAGACTACGCCCGCCACATTTCTGCTCACTGCGTGGCCAGCACTTCGTTTCTTCATGTGCCCTCACTTCATAGAATTGTAACCGAATTAGAACACACAAGCTGGGCAGGGTAGCTCCTCCCTGAAGTCCTAATGCTTGGGGAGTGGAGGTAGGAGTTCAAGGTCATCCTCAGCTCCATAGTGAGGTCAAGACCAGCTTGGTCTGTATGAAACCCACCACAAAACTCCACAAAGCAGAAATGAGGAAACATGTGGAGTGGAGACCTTGTGTTTATCAATCACACGGTA